CTAGAAGTTTTATTTTTAATCTCTTTTTTTTCCTTTTTGCATTTTTGTTTATTTCTTCCTTTCGTTTTTGATTATTCTATTTTCGTTTGGATTAATTTATATCAATTTAAAAGATTTTAATAAGATTGTATTCAAAAAAGGAATATGAGGCTACAGCTGATGGCCATAATTAATGCATAATGTATGTTCATTGTTGGAAAATTCAGTATAGGAAGAGCACCTGAGAATGTATGTGCAGAATAGTAATAATGGAAAGATGTTATGGAAAATGTCAAATTTAGTTACAGTATTTTATATAATTAGATACTGAGACTATACGAAAATCATCCAAGACCCATTTCAATTATAGTCAGTAATTTTTGAATCCATATAATGGTGCTGAATCATCAGTTATATTTTGAATAGTGGTATTTAGGTAGTCAACTTACAATCACATTTGAGCCCAAAATATCTGTTGCTGAGACATTTATGTGATTTTACAACCTTTCTTGTACCATTGCTAAGTGAGTCACTTCTTCTTCTTCCTAGTGTATTCCTACGCGGGGGTAGGGTGTTCCGCTTTTTGGATTGAGCACCACTTTGCATGGTCAGCTGTGTCGCCAAGGCACAGGCACGTGGCTTGCGTATCTTTGTTGATGATGTCTTGCCATCTCTGTTTTGGGCATCCACGAGATCGCCGGCCATTGACTTCTAGTTAGTAGGCAGTCTTGGCAACAGTAGAAGGTGCTGCTCTTAGGACATGTCCATACCAGTGGAGCTGGCCTTCTCTCATCTTGTCTATAATTGGTGCCACATCAAAATGTTGTCAAATGGTGTCATTTGTGATGTGGTCAAGAAGAGAGATGTCCGATATCCAATGGAGCATTCACATTTCCATGGCATGGAGATAGTTTTCGGTCCCTGTTGCTGCTGCCCAGCATTCAGTGCCATACAGTGCAACCGGGCGGATGGTTGTCTTATAAACCTTAGATTTAAGACGGGTTGGCATTTGTCCGTCACATAACACACCAGTGAATTCTCACCAACACATCCAGGCTGCATTTACCTCACCTTGCATCTCGCCATTGATGTCACCAGTGCCTTGGAGATGGGATCCCAGATACCGAAAAATGTCCACCTTCTTTAGGTTTTCTCCATTGATTTGAAGCATTCCAGCAGTGATAACAGTCTCAAAGTACTCAGTTATCACACAGTAGTGATATCCTTATTTTAAAATTAAAAAGTCTTCCATTAAATTAGATGAACGAACACCAATTTTGTCACAAGATTCTTAAACTTGATGTGCAAGTAAAACATACCGTATTTTTCAGACTATAAGACGCACTGGAGTATAAGAAGCACCAAGATTTCGAAGAGGTAAACAAGGAAAAAAAGGTTTTGCCCTCCCCGGCCCCCAGGAGCACCTGAAGATCTCCCAAACCCTCCGAGAGTCCTGTTTTTGTGAAAATTGGGCCCTTTTTTGCAAAAACCAGATGTGCAGATGGTTTGGGAGGCCTGCAGAGTGCTCCTGGGGACCGAGGAGGGCAAAAATGTGACACATGGGGGGGGGTTGGGAGGCCAAAAATGGGCCCCTTTTTTGGAAAAACGAGGCACGCAGAGGGTTTGGGAGGCCTGCAGAGTGCTCCTGGGGGCTGCAGAGCAAAAACATCCATTTTTGCAAAAAATGGGCATGATTTTGGCCTACCAACTCCCCCACGTGTCATGTTTTTGCCCTCCCCAGTCCCCAGGAGCACTCTGCAGGCCTCCCAAGTCCTCTGCACATCCCATTTTTGCAAAAAACGGGCTTGTTTTTGGCAAAAACGGGACACATGGGGAGGGCTTTCAGGAGGCTAAAAATGGCTGTATTTGGTGTATAAGATGCACCAACATTTCCACCCTCTTTTAGTGGAGGTGGGGAGTGCATCTTATACTCCAAGAAGTATGGTACTACATTTCAAGGTTAAGATTAAATGTTCTTGGTTGCTGTCCCTTCTGAAATGTGTGCTTACAATAAGACCATATACACTGGGTTTATAAAACATCTCAAGTTAGTTTAATTTTTCACTGTATGTGTTGGAGGGAATTGTAAGAAATTGTCAAAGGCTTCCATTATGCTTCTTAATAAAAATAAAAGCTACTGTGGTAATGGATTTCTTTATATTTATATATACATATACATATACATATCATATATATATATCATATCATATATACATATACCGTATTTTTCGGTGTATAAGACGCACCGGAGTATAAGACGCACCTTAATTTTGGGGGAGGAAAACAAGGAAAAAAGTATTTTACCTCTGCCTACCAGCATTTAAGGTGGCGCCACCCTCCTCTTCCTCCTGCAAGCGAGAGGTGCAGGGACTACTCACTTTCCCCCAAAGAGACCCCTAGCATGCTCTGGGGGGAGGGACAGAGCACAGCCTGAGGAACAACCCTCCCTCTTCGGGATGGTGTGTGTGGTGGGGGAAATCTGCCCAGCAGCTTTGGGGAACAAGGCGGATGCCACGATTTGCGGCTGGTCACCCCTCTGGCCGCGCTGACTTCACTCCCCAGCAATGTGAGGAGCCGCCGCCGCCGCTGCCTAACCCCCTCTGCACCCAGGAGCCAAGCCGAGCTGAATGGGAGCCCCTAAAGGGAAGCGTTCCGAAGCACCACCGAAGAACATTGCCCATAAGCTCCAAACCGAGAACGGCACGCCTGGACTACTGCAACGCTCTCTACATGGGGCTCCCCCTGAGGAGCACCTGGAGGCTCCAGCTGGTGCAGAATGCGGCCACGCGGGTGATTATGGGAGCGACGTGGTGCTCCCACGTAACACCTCTCCTGCACGAGCTGCATTGGCTCCCGGTGGTCTTCCGGGTGCGCTTTAAGGTGTTGGTTCTCATCTTTAAAGCGCTCCATGGCTTAGGGCCAGGTTATTTGCAAGACCGCCTGCTGCTACCGATAACCTCCCACCGGCCAATTCGCTTGCACAGAGAGAGCCTCCTCAGGGTGCCGTCGGTCAGGCAATGTCGGCTGGCGGCCCCCAGGGGGAGAGCCTTCTCTGTGGAGGCATCCGCCCTGTGGAACGAGCTGCCTCCTGGAATACGATTGATCCCGGACCTCGGACCTTCCGTAAAGCCCTGAAGACGTTTTTATTCCACCAAGCCAGCCTAGCCTAAATGGTTTTTAATTGGAATTTTAAATTTTATGGATTTGGGGGTTTTAAATTGGGAAGCTAATGATTTAATTCTTTTTAAATTATCTTAACTTTTGTATTTGTATGTTTTTAATTTTGGCTGTTCACCGCCCTGAGTCCCCTCTGGGAGAAGGGCGGTATACAAATTAAATTAATAAAATTAATAAATAAATAAACATCAGCCAGTAGATGACGAATGCCATTTCGTCGAAACGTCGCTACTACCCTTTTAAGGATGTTTACAATTACACGGGAAGAAACCCGAGATATTAACTGTACACACACACACACATATATATACATATACATACATATATATTGTTTTTAACAATTCAAGATTGTCATTTTTGTCATTCTGATATATTTTTTTTTTTGGATATATCTTTTTTAAATACTTGTGGGTCCAAGAAAAGATACTAGATCTGTTTCTAAATGAGTAACACTTTGAATTAGATCCAATGTATAAAGTGGCATAAATGGTGTTCATCAGCATAGCCAATGCATATTTTTAATATCTTTAAAGTTAGATTATCTAGAAAACAATAGGATACAGATGTTGCTAAAAGGTGGGTTTTTTTTTTTAGTATTTAGCTCGGTAGAAATGATGCAAGAGTATCATGAAGTAATAGGAATGCAAAATAAAACACTTGAAAGATCAGGTAAGATCCAATAAGTTCAATCAACTGTGAGGCTGCAGATCTAAATGCAGAACTGCAACCTGATTTTAAGGTTTTCTTTCTCTGGTTAGGTAAATGAAAAAGCACTCTGTTATAGTTAATAGCATTGCTACGAATAAGTGCAAGTCCCAAATTCACTTAGGGTTAGCTTCCCTGAGTTTTAGTTTAAAAATATACTAAAAGTATAGCTGAGTCTTCTTTAGCCTGAACAGATTGCGTGATTTCTTATCTGGGAATAAATACCACTGAAGATAGCAAGATTTTTTGTTAAATTGGTTTCTTAATAAGTACTAAATGTACAGATGATGTTGTTAGATGATACTTGGAAGATGCCATACATTTATTAACCTTCAAAACAACAAAAAAATTCTGGAAGTGGGCTACTTTTATCCATTGCTTTTAATCAGTAAGGCAATATAAAATTATATACCCCAGAATCTATCATAACAAAGATGGATCTCTTAAAAGCAAGCTAAAAACAATGCTTTTTCAGAGAAGCAAAAGCCACTGGCAATTCTTTAAATACTTTTTTTTTTAAAAAAGAACTGTTATTCAGCTAGTTAAGGCTATCTTATGATTCTTGATGAATGTATCTTTTCTTTTATGTACATTGAGAGCATATGCACCAAGACAAATTCCTTGTGTGTCCAATCATATTTGGCCAATAAAAAATTCTATTCTATTCTATTCTATTCTTTCTAATCAGAAATAAGTTTTTCTTCATTGATCTGACCTACAGTACTGTGAACAGGTAACTTAGGTTCATAAATAATTTGATTTTTCTCTAACGGAACTATTTTTCCTATTAGATTAGAAGAAAATAATGTAGTCTTTCGTTATAAGCCGGTAGACTGCGATACTCTCTCTCTCTCTCTCGCTCACTTACAGAACGCCTCTTGGATTACAAAAGCCCGCCAAATTCCAAAACAAAGATGGTGAATCAAGACGTCAATGAGAAACACCTTACGGCAGTAGCCACACTGTACCAGCGATTCCAATTGGAACGCTCAGTTGCCCGATCAAAAAATGGCCGCCTTCTCTATTCGGAGATAAGGCTGTAGCCCACAGTGAAAATGGCCATTACACTTTACCGCCTAAAGTTTCACGAGGCGCTCGACCCGATTCTAAGATGGCGGAAGGCCGTTGCCGTGAGGTGAGCGTTCCCTGCGTCACGTGACAGGCAAGACGGGGGTGTGTGTATCCCCGTCGTGTGTCCCGGCGGAAGAGTGAAGGGAGTCGTCTGAACGGCAACATCTTACAGCAAAGGGAAAATAAGACGGCGCGATTAGCGCTGGAGAACCGGAGACACGCCAGTCACCACGGATTCATCCGTAGCCAGCGCGGCGGCCGGGGCGCAGCCACCTTCGCTGCCTCCGCCGCCGCCGCCTCCATTGAGGATGTCGCGCAGAAAGGTGAGCAAGTGCAGATCGAACAGACCTCCTTTTCCTCCTTTTCCTTTTAATCTGCTTAAGACCGTTGGGCTCGAAAACCAGTTAAAAACGTAGGCCTTCAAGCCCCTGTTTCATCTCGCGATACGATTGGCTAGTCCTTCCTCTCGCCGCATCTTCAATGGCCACCTTCGCCATCAGTCAAGCGCAACCTCTTCCCTCAACGGTTATTTGTTTCCCTCCACCCGTTCGATGACTGTTATAGCCCACCTCCTTTCATTCCTAATTGGCTCGCGTCTGAACCATCATTGGTTGATCACCTTATCATTTTCTACTGGCGCGGTTTCCCCTCCCCCCCTCCGGCTTTCCGGTATCCATTCATGGCTGCGTGCTTTGGGAGTGGCTGTTGAGGGTGGCATTGATTGGCTGGGATTCTAAAGCGGCGTCCCTGAATCCCACCCCCTACCGTTTCTCAGTTTCTCATTGGGGAAGAGAGTGATACAAAAGTCCAACCCCCACACTGATAACGATTGCATGCGAGAGAATATGGTAGAAATGAATCGAAGTATGGTAGACAGGATTAAATGGGCAATGGGTTGTTTTTTGGATCATTACAATTATATTTCCGTATTTGCTAGAACTCAGTTGAGTCTGCCTGTAAGTTAAATCTGTTTATAATGGAACTGCATTTTTAACATGCCAAACATTTTAAATGAGTTTTAAAACCATGGTTTTTTTAACAAATTTATTTCTAGTTCTTTTCTACTGAAGAGCTAGCAAATTAAATAGGGGGTTATTTTGGCAACTATTCTTACAAGAACGAATTTATGATACAGTAATTTAAGGCTAGCAAATTTATTGTGGCTTAAACTTTTGTAAAAATATAGCTAGCTTTCCCAGGCCTGTGAAGAGATAATTCATAGTTACAGAGATTTTAGATACATACTAGAATCTTCTCCTTTATAGTGACCACGTAATACCAAATGAGTGAAAAGTAATGTACTCTCTAACTTACTTGAATTGTGTATATGGTAATTATATCAAAATTAGCTTTGGGAGATGATAATTCCTTATAAAAATCATTCAAAAGGCTGATGTAGAAGAATTATGGAAGTGTAAAAAACCACAGGCCATAGGATTACCTATTACACCTGCCATAGATGCATAAGCGTAACCCTTTCTTCCCTCTGATATATTGTGAACCTTTCAAAACTCAGCAGTAGATACAAATATTCAGCACGTTTTCCTGTCATTATGTTCAGGTATTAGAATAAATGCACTGTATAAACATTGACGGTACCTGACTGTTAAATTAACACAGTGCACTGAACCTAATGTATGTTCTTTTGTCTTTATGTTTTGTAGGAACTCAGTCACTGGGTTGTAAGCCATGAAGTACAGCATAGTGTGATATATGACATAACTTGTTTTTTGCTTACCGGTAGTATACTGTTGATTAAACTAAGACAGTTAGTGAATACAGGAAAGTGCTGTTGCATCACTATCCTGGTCAATAAAATGCTTATTTATAGCGAGGAATATTTTGTATTACTGCAGAAGAAAAGAATTAGGCCTGAGTCTTTGGAAAAATTGATTATAACAATATACTCTAAATGGGGCTCTCTTTGAAGTGTATTGGGATATGTTACAGCTTGTTTAGAATGTAGCAGCACATGCAGTTTGGGGCACATCATGGTACACCCATGTAGCATTCCTACTATATGTCTCCCAGAGGTTTTCAAGTACAGAGTGCTGGTTGATATCTAAAGCTCTTGATGGGATGGATTGGGTTATTTCTGCGTCTGTCTCCAATGGTTTCTGTGTATCCCACCAGATCTGACAGAATGGGCATACTTCTGGTACCTTCAGAGTATCTTCCTGATGAATCTCAAGAAGCATGTCTTTTCTGTCATGTGCTGTTCCAAGTGGAACAGCTTCACATATACAGGTGAAACTCAAAAAATTAGAATATCGTGCAAAAGTTCATTTATTTCAGTAATGCAACTTAAAAGGTGAAACTAATATATGAGATAGACTCATTACATGCAAAGCAAGATAGTTCAAGCCTTGATTTGTCATACTTTTGATGATTATGGCTCACAGCTCATGAAAACCCCAAATTCACAATCTCAGAAAATTAGAATATTGTGAAAAGGTTCAATATTCTAGGCTCAAAGTATCCCAACTCTAATCAACTAATTAAGCCATAACACCTGCAAAGAGTTCCTGAGCCTTTAAATGGTCTCTTAGTCTGGTTCAGTAGGAATCACAATCATGGGAAAGACTGCTGACCTGACAGTTGTGCAGAAAATCATCACTGACACCTTACATAAGGAGGGAAAGCTCAAAAGGTAATTGCAAAAGAAGTTGGATGTTGCCAAAGTGTTGTATCAAAGCACATTAATAGAAAGTTATGTGGAAAGGAAAAGTGTGGAAGAAAAAGGTGCACAAGCAGCAGGGATGACTGCAGCCTGGAGAGAATTGTCAAGAAAAGGCCATTCAAAAGTGTTGGGGACTTTTACAAGGAGTGGACTGAGGCTGGAGTCAGTGCATCAAGAGTCACCACACACAGACAGATCCTGGACATGGGCTTCAAATGTATTCCTCTTGTCAAGCCGCTCCTGAACAACAAAAACATCAGAAGCGTCTTACCTGGGCTAAAGACAAAAACTGGTCTGTTGCTCAGTGGTCCAAAGTCCTCTTTTCCGATGAGAGCAACTTTTGCATCTCATTTGGAAACCCAAGGACCCAGAGTCTGGAGGAAGAATGGAGAGGCACACTGCAAGATGCTTGAAGTCTAGTGTGAAGTTTCCACAGTCTGTTGATTTGGGGAGCCATGTCATTTGCTGGTGTTGGTCCACTGTGCTTCATTAAGTCCAGGGCCAACGCAGGAGATTTTGGAGCACTTCATGCTTCCTTCCACAGACGAGCTTTATGGGGATGCTAACTTCATTTTCCAGCAGGACTTGGCACCTGCCCACACTGCCAAAAGTACCAAAACCTGGTCAATGACCATGGGATTACTGTGCTTGATTGGCCAGCAAACTCGCCTGACCTGAACCCATAGAGAATCTATGGGGCATTGCCAAGAGAAAGATGAGAGACCGAACAATGCAGAAAAGCTGAAGGCCGCTATTGAAGCATCCTGGTCTTCCATAACACCTCAGCAGTGCCACAGGCTGATAGCATCCATGCCACGCCGTATTGAGGCAGTAATTGATGCAAAAGAGGCCCAAACCAAGTACTGAATACATATGCATGCTTATACTTTTCAGAGTTCTGATATTGTTCTACGTACAATCCTTGTTTTATTGATTTCATGTAATCTAATTTTCTGAGATTGTGAATTGGGGTTTTCATGAGCTGTAAGCCATAATCATCAAAAGTATGACAAATCAAGGCTTGAACTATCTCGCTTTGCATGTAATGAGTCTATCTCATATATTAGTTTCACTTTTTAAGTTGAATTACTGAAATAAATGAACTTTTGCACGATATTCTAATTTTTTGAGTTTCACCTATACATCTACTTCCACAAGGTTCAGATGGCCTCTATTAGTCTTCTGAAAGGCCATGAAGATCTGTCTTTTCCTCCAGACATTGGGGTCAGGATGTTAGTAATGGAAATTCTGGCTAAGATGTTTGTGATTTGTGATTACATTGAACCTTGACTTGCTTTATTTTCATTTAGGTTTTTTTTAGTACATTTTATGGTACTAGGCACCTGTCTCATAGAGTTTATAATAAACTAAAGTTATTACAGAGAAAATAGAAAAAAGGAGGAGGTTGTTTAAGGTATGTTCACTGCCCTAAGTTACTTATAAAGTAATCAAGGCAGGTAACAAAGTCTAACAAATAAATAAATAAAGATTTAGGGCCACTGGTTTTGATAGTTGCCCTTTTCCCATTAATTCCATGTTTTTACTGTGATTTCATTGTAAGAACCTGGGTGATTATTTATTTTTAAATCATGGGCTTGTTAGTTTAAAAGTGCATTGATGTTTCCCTTAATAAGATGGCTTATATGACCTGCCTGTCTAAATTAGGAGGAACTAAATTTCATATATAATATCTATGACAAATTGACTTAGGACTTCCTTTATGATATATCATTATAGTTTTTGATAATTAAATGGATGGTTGGATACAAGAGGATAAAGAGGGAATTCTGAAATTCACTGAGGGTTTAGTTAGAACTAAATGTCTCTTAGGAACATGAGCAATATTTTAAATTTAAATTTAACAGTGCGTACTAATTTTTGAAGAACACTCCATTTGGTTTAGTATGTAAGGCATCGGACTCCAAACCAGGAGACTGGGAGTTCTGATCCCTCTTTAGGCATAACATCAACTGAGTGATCTTGAACCAGTCCGTCTCTCCCTAGGAAAGATCCAGTGGCAAACCATTTCTAAAAAACCTTGCCAAGAATACTACAGGAATTGGTCCAGGCAATCATAGGAGTCAAAAGCTGACTCAGAATTATCCTTCCCCCCCCCCCAAAAAAATTGAGGAACACATCTGCATTAAAATATTTGTCTTATGTGCTGTTTGTTTGTTTGTTTGTTTGTTTATTTAAAACATGTATATAGCTATTCATCTTTCAACCAAATATGGGTCGTTCCCAATTAAAAACTAAATGTTGGCTTTTCAGAGAAATGCAGGAAGCAGTTCAGATGGAACAGAAGACTCAGATTTCTCTACAGACCCAGAGCATACAGACAGTTCAGAAAGCGATGGTACATTACGCCAGTCTGCCCGTGTGACACGATCTTCTGCTAGGCTCAGCCAGAGTTCTCAAGGTATATCTAGATCTTTTAAAATACTTCATTTTGGGTCTTAAAGTTCTGCTTTAAGCAGAACAGCATACTGATAGCAGTGTTCCAATATCTCAGGGGCTTCCACAAAGAAGAGGGAGTCAAGCAATTCTCCAAAGCACCTGAGGGACAAGAAGCAATGGATGGAAATTAATCAAGGAAAAAAGCAATTTAGAACTAAGGAAAAATTTCCTGACAGTTAGAACAATTAATCAGTGGAACAACTTGCCTCCAGAAGTTGTGAATGCTCCAACACTGGACGTTTTTAAGAAGAGATTGGATAACCATTTGTCTGAAGTGGTGTAGGTTTTACTGCCTAAGCAGGGGGTTGGACTAGAAGACCTCCAAGGTCCCTTTGTTATTCTATTCTATTCTGCTTTGGGAGAAAGGATGCTTGCAATGATTAGATGTTTTCTCTTAAGCTTTGTCTAAATGTGAAGAACTGTATCATATGTCAATAAATCTCCACTTATTCTTCATGAACATAAAGATGAAATTATAATGAACCATCTTCTGGTTTTGCTCCCACTCATCCTGTGGCAATGTACTGTATGTATGAATTGTTTCAAATTCTCTTCCTTGGGAAAATAAAAAAAAAAGTATATAACAGAACATCTTCTGAATCATACCATCTTTGCACTATTTTTGATCATTATTTAAACCTAATGTTGGGTTATTAACATTTCAGGAGAAATTCCTGGTTATCAAAACAATGAACATAAATGTATTTTGGAACGGATATAGATTTAGATAAAGAAGCATTTAGGCAAACTAATATAGCACAATAAGGAACTGTATTCCATTTATACTCTGTATTCCAGGCTCATGTATTCCAATACCATTATTAACCGAAGATTTACATTATGAACTGTTTGTGATTTACACTTTCCTTTAAATTTAATTTACATATGCAATAATGCAAGGAAGTCATTAGCTGAAAATTGTGTAAAACTTGCCCTTTTATAGTTCCTGAAAGAATAGCCATTTTGGTCTACTAGAGTAAGAACCACAACGAATATGTTGGCACGTAATGTAGGCTCTGAAATAATGTTTCTAGTGAGATGCTACGTTTCTCCTTTAACAATCCCTTTCAATTCTTCATAGATTCCAGTCCAGTTCGCAATCCACCATCATTTGCAGTAGAAGAGCCTGTTTATTCTACTCGAAGAATAACCCGCAGTCAGCAGCAGCCTACTCCTGTAACTCCAAAGAAATATCCTCTGCGACAAACGCGTTCGTCTGGTTCTGAAACAGAGCAAGTGGTTGATTTTTCTGATAGAGGTTTGTACATGCGAATGGTTGTGCAGGATGCGCTTAATAAATGTTATCATATGGGAAGATGGAGAATTGATTCTTAAACTAGTATTTGCTCAATTTCCTTTGTAGAATGTTTCAGTAGTAACATACTAGATTAAAAAGTAATATCTTTGCTAAGACTGTTTAACATCCTAGGTATTGCTTGATTTCATATTATGCGTAAAGGGGATAGAGCCCACCCCCACCCCCACCCCCCCCCCCCCCCCAGTGTGAGGGTGTCTGTTTTAAGTTACCTTTGATTACCGCAATTTTAGTTGACTGGTTTTCTTGTTTATCCCCAGATTATTCTCAGTCACTGGCTAGGAAGGAAACAATATTTTTCTGGCACTCTGTTCCATTTTTTATGTAGTGCTGACATATAAAAAAAGGAAGCATTTATTCTTTGTATATTTTCTAATTTGGCAGCGTCTCTGTACACTAATTTTCTCTCTTCTCAACAGACACAAAAAATGCAGCTGACCATGATGAGTCCCCACCCCGCACTCCAACTGGGAATGCTCCTTCTTCAGAGTCTGATATTGATATCTCTAGTCCCAATATGTCACATGATGAAAGTATTGCCAAGGATATGTCCATGAAAGATTCAGGGAGTGATTTATCCCATCGTCCCAAAAGGCGACGTTTCCACGAAAGCTATAATTTTAACATGAAATGTCCCACCCCTGGCTGCAATTCATTAGGTACAGTGGAATGATTTCTGATCTGAGTTTTAATTATTAGGATTTTCCGTTGTCCAAGCTTCCTACCGTATTTCCCTGAAAATAAGACCCTGTCTTATATTTTTTTGAACCCTGAAATAAGCACTTGGCCTTATTGCCATGCACTCAAAAGCCCGATTGGGCTTATTATCGGGATGTCTTATTTTGGGGGAAACAGGGTATATGTTCTTTTTGGTAATCTGTAAACTATACTTCTTTGGTTTTCAACAGGACACCTGACAGGAAAACATGAGCGACATTTTTCTATATCTGGATGCCCTCTGTATCATAATCTTTCAGCAGATGAATGCAAGGTAATTTATTCTCAGGATGTATGTAATGAAGAAAAGCAGGTGGAAAGTAGTAATTGTAACAGGAACAGAGCAGGAATTCATATGCTTTAACACATATTTGCAAATTGCAACTTCTGGAAGATAGTCTGTTTTATACATTGTACCAAGATATAGGTTATTTTAACCTTAACTTGAGGCTTGGTGGTCCCATGAAAACAGTTCCAGCAATTTCTAGATTCAAAATCCATACTGTGGCAAATTCATATTATTCCTTTAAATTACCGTATTTTTCAGTGTATAAGACACACTTCCTCCGCCCCCACAAAAGTGGGTAGAAATGTTTGCATCTTGTACAGCAAATGTTGCTGAAGCCCCATCCTCCCACCAGCCCCTGCCCTTCTGTCTTTGCCTCCTAGCAATTTACCTCCTTGCAGCAAACATCAGACAGCCTGGTCAGCTTCAGCACAGCCTGATTTAGCACAAGCAGCTGATTGGCAGTTGGATCGGCCTCCTGGAATACTGCCTATTAGCTATTCCAGGCTGCAGGGATCGCCACCACCCATTTCCGCTCATTGCTGTTGCCACCTCTGCGTGCTCCATTTTCGGCCTCCGTGCATCCTGTTTTCACCCTCCGTACATCCTGTTTTTGGCCCATTCCAGGCACGGGGGATGGGCGACGGCGGCACGGATGCCCATCGCCTGGAATGGGCCAAAAACAGGACGCACGGAGGCCAAAAATGGGACATACAGAGGCCGAAAATGAGGCGCGTGGAGATGGCAATCCCTGCAGCCTGAAACAGCTGATTGGCAGTATTCTGGGAGGTCGATCCAACTGCCAATCAGCTGCTTGTGCTAAATCAGGCTGTGCTGAAGCTGACCAGGCTGTTTGCTGTTTGTTGCAAGGAGGTAAATTGCTGGGAGACAGAGGCAGATTCCAGCCCCCCCCCCCCCCCCCGCTTGTTTTTCTCCTCAAAAGCTAGATGCATCTTATACTTCGGAGCATCTTATAGTCCTAAAAATACAGTACATGATGTAGGAAGGAGATTTATATATAATATTTCTCTGGATTTCAAGGTGAGAGCTCAAAGCCGAGACAAACAAGTGGAAGACCGGATGCTTTCTCATCGACAAGATGACAACAATAGACATGCTACCAGGCATCAGGTAATTTCTACTAATTTTATATATATTATTCAGGTCTGTGCTGGCTTAAAGAACCCCACTAGGGACTTATTCAAGTTATTCACTTTTTTTTTTTTGAAGAATTGCCACATTGCACATACAACAACTATGCTCATATGAATAATCAGCTCATAATTTGATGCAGTCGTGCATTATAAAAAGCTGTCTGATTCTAAACAGGGGGGATGCATAAAACAAATTCATGAAATACTGGAGAACCCATGGAATATTGCCGAAGCCAGATACTCATCTATCTATCTGTCTGTCTCCCAATCAAATATTTTATTTCCTACTCCCTACAAGGCACCAACTGAAAGACAATTGAGATATAAGGAGAAAGTTGCAGAGATGAGAAAGAAGAGGAATGCAAGCTTAACTAAGGAGCAAAAGGAAAAATACATGGTATAAAAACCTCATTTATTTTCCTTAGAGAATAAGCCATGTGTTAAGACATCCTTTTTAGTTTGGTCTCTCCAAATGTGTTTTTACTGTGCTTAACCAGTGTATATTAAGTCAGGAAAATGAGTTAAAACATAAGGCATCTGAATCAATACTTTTCATGCCATGGATTCTCAAAGAATAATTAGTTTGTTTGAAACAAGTTATGAGATGGATAACAGTAGCTGAAATGGATAATAGTAATCTATGGAACATTGAGCTGTGTTAATCCTATTGTTTGGAATCCATATATGAATTCTAGTTTTGCAATTATAGCATGTATTTCTATAGCACAGGAAAAGGAGTGAGTAGGTTTTAATAGTCTTTTTTTCAACTAACCATGTCAACATTCCTTGTATTTTTTCCAATTATCCAAGCAGCTGAATTTTCTCTTAAACACATTTTAATTAATTTACATTTTTCAACCAGAATGTCTTTCATAAAAGTCTTTCAGTTCTCTAAAAGTAACAAGGAATATAGTGATACCACTGAAAGGAATTTTTAGACTTTTTCTTCAATTATTTATCCTTTCTTGCCCACCCCTTAAACAAATAGGAGGTGGCTATCAGGAGTTGCTTCCCCAAATGCAGGAGACATTTTTTTCTTTGTGTTTATGAGATATTTCTTCTGTTGTTGCTTCAGGAGCATAGACAAACCTATGGCAACACGAGAGAGCCCCTTTTAGAGAATCTGACCAGTGAGTATGACCTAGAACTATTCCGACGAGCGCAAGCAAGAGCTTCTGAAGATCTAGTAAGTAGGGCTGAGCTCATTCCATTTCATGTCCCAGCTGTGAATAAGCCAGTTATACTTCATTCACTGCAATGCATGCAAATTTGCTGTAAATGGATAGAACCAAACCAAGCTGATAGAAGGAAGCAAAGCTAAAAGGTTGATTGCACACTTCATAGCAATCATAATGTTTTGAAGGTTAAAGATTGGTCTTGGCCTAGTATATATTGGGGGTACACACCAAAAGTAGACAAGTACAGGATCTAAATAATTTAGAACGTGTTTTAAATTTTATTACATTCAAAGTAATTAAATAACTTCATATTACTCTCAGGGTATTTTACTACTTATCTCTTTGCCTATTTAAAAATATATAATCGTCTTAATTTATAGAGTAATAGCTAATCCAAATTAAAAATGCAATAGAAAAGCCATTAAGACCAGATGAGTGAATCAGTGAATCACTTCATTTACCAATGAACGTTTCTGTCTTGATGGCTATAATAAATGATTGGCCTATCGAGATAACATTTTTGCCAGTCAGACTTTATTTTCTGGTGCGTGACATTTTTAGATTAATATATAGACACATTAACTGAAATTATATACTAAATATAATGACTTAAAAGTGCAGTCAGTAAATAAAGCAAACAAAAGAGTACAAAGCAATAAATAAGGTAAAATAAGATATTGGGACAGTTACCTTAGCAAAATAGAACAACTCTTCCAGCCTTTCATCTCTGTATTGTTTTATTCTTTAGTGAGGGCATTTTATAATTTGTTCCGTATCCAACTTACAGATCAAAGTCACTGATCTGAAAAAAAAAAGTGCTTATGATGTGATCAGTTCAAAATTGCTCTCCCTGATGATCACAAATTGTACTGAGTTTCCTTGAAAATAAGACCTTATCTTATATTTTTTTGAATCCCAAAATGAGGGCTTGGCCTTATTTTCGGGGGGTCTTATTATTTTGGGGCACAATTTGGGGAGGGGCAGGAAGCCCTGCCATGCCCAGCAAGAGGGGGAGAAGAGATTGCAAGAATCACGGCTGCTTTTGCAGCTGATTGAGGCTGCAAAAGCAGCAGGAGACCCCACACGTCCTGCGTCTCCTTCAAGAATAGTCTTACCTCAATTGGTTGCCAAGAGCTTTGCCCCAATTGAGGTTCCCTGCAGTGGAACCTGCAGCTCGGCGCTTGAGAGGGTGTTGGGGGGGGGGAAGCCCCTTTACGCAACCCAGCCTCTCAGGTGGGCAGGAAGTCCCCTCCTACCATGCAGCTGGCTGGTTGAGAATCGGCCAGTCCTGGGAACCTCTCCCCGGCTAGACACGGAACTCCAGCAGGAAGGCATCTCCTTTGGGCTATTGAGCGCCAGCCTGCATGCCTACTTGGTGCTCCAGGTGCCAGGCTACAATTCTGGGTCCGCTGGGTGCTGCAACTCTCAGGCCAGCTGTGCACAGAGCTGGCACGAGAGTTGCAGCGGCTACCAGGGCCAGAGCCCGAACAGCGCCTGGTTCAGTGTAGCTGTAGCTGGCCCCTGCAGCACCAAATAGGCGTACAGGCCTGCACTCAGCAGCCCAAACATTTGACAATGCAGGCCAGTGCCTATTGGGCCCCCAAACACTTTTCACCCGCTTCGTTTCCCTCTGGGCGAAAAGTGTGCAGCAGTTCAAGAGATCAAATATCTGTGTGTGTGTGTGTGTGTGTGTGAGAGAGAGAGAGAGAGAGTGACAGAGAAAAAGAGAAACGGTAGAGGGGAAGAGAGGAAGAGGACCAAGCTTCCCCTGCTCAGAAGCAACGTGCAGCCTCTCACAGTAACGAGAATTGCCTGCAATTCTCCTTACTGTGAGAGGCTGTACCCTGCAAAGAGGAATGAAGCAGGGGGGTGGGGTGGAGAACAAAGCAAGGCAGGGGCTGCAGAGCTGCCCCAAGGCCCTGCATTGGCTTACCTGAAGACCCTTCAGCCAGGCCACCCATGCCAAACCCTCCCACCCCCCATTCCCCCCAGGCAGCCACATCCTTCATTAACCTGCTTTCCAGCTCTGTTCTCTGCTGTGCGTTCAGGACAGGAAAAGTAGTCTGTTGGACTAGGGAAAAAAAATACTGATAGTTTAGACCTTCCAACTTCTCATGAAGAAAAAAAAATTTCGTGAAGTTGGAAGATGTTTTTACCGTAGTCCCACAGACTACTTTTCTTGCCCTCCATGTGACAGTGGAGAACGGAGCTGGAAAGCAGGTTAATGAAGGGATGTGGCTGCCTTGGGAGGTTTCGGGGGTGGGAGTGGTGAGGGACCTCTATGTGTGTTTATGTGTGTCGGGACGGGACGGGACGAGACGGAGAGAACATTGCTGCCAGCCCTGGATAACTCTCCGACACACACACACACACACACACACACACACACACCATTCTTTTTTGGGGATCGCAGCACAGATGCCCCTTCCAAGATTGCAAGGCTTAAGGCTTCGGATGGAGCATTTTGGGGATGTGTGTCTGTGCTGCAATCCCAAGTAAAGAAAGATCGGCAGGAAAAAAAAAGGGGAGGGGGATTTTCCTGCAGCCTGTCCTTTCTTTGAGATTGCAGCACAGACACACATCCCCAAAATGCTCCATCTGAAGCCTTAAGCCTTGCAATCCTGGAAGGGGCATCTGCTGCAATCCCAAAGAAAGGACAGGCTGCAGGAAAATTCCTCCCCCACTTTTTTTCCTGCCGATCATTCTTTACTTGGGATTGCAGCACAGATGCCCCTGATTAGCAGGCTGAAGGCTTCGGATGGAGCATTTTGGGGATGTGTATCTCTTCTGCGATCCCAAGTAAAGAAAGATAGGCAGGAAAATGGGAAGGAGGCTGGCAGCTGGGGAGGTGGTCTGGAGAACTGGGCCAAGTTGCACAGCCCTCGCTGGCTCAGCTGATTAGCGGGCAGCAATTATGGGGCTTACTTATTTATTTAGCATATGGTTGGTCACACATAGTATTAAAACACTTCATTTTTACAGGTTAAAAACAATTAAAACAATAAAAAAGCAGTAAGAAAACCTAAAAGAAAAACAGAAATAACATTTCAAAGGTTAATGTCGAGTTTGGAGATCAAGCCAGTAGCTGCCGTTGTTATGCAGAGGAAGTCCCTAGAATCTCCTGGATACCTTCTGTTAGGGCATTCCCTCACTATATGCTGGATAGTCTGTCGAAGGGCCCCGCAATCACATTGTGCTGAAGGTGTCTTCCCCCTTTTATACAGGGAGTCAGCACACACCCCATGAGTTATTCTAATTCTATTATATGTCACCCATATGTGTCGGGGTAGGATAAATCCTGGAGGTATACTACTAGGACTGATATGCTTGGAGACATCTTGGGGGGAACAGCTATTCCACGCCTCCATCCACTTTTGTGTGGTGTTCTGATGATCGGCCATCAACTTACGCGTTGTCAAGATTGGTGGATTTCTTGACTTTAATCGGCATCTTAAGAGATCAGGAATGTATCCATGTATGGGTAGAGAGGAATTTAACAGGATCTTACTATACTCCCGAATGAGAGCTTCTTGTCGTAAGTGCGGGGGGAGTATGTGACTAAGAACTGGTAACCAGTAACTAGGTGTAGATTTTATGCACCCAGTAATTAGCCTCATCTTTTGGTTAAGTTGAACATCAATAAGTCCTGTATGTGAGCTGTTTATCCATACAGGTGCACAGTATTCCGCTGCAGAGTAGCAAAGCCCGAGGGCTGCACATCGGAGAGTTGGGGCTGAAGCTCCCCAAGTTGTTCCGCATAGCTTTTGTAGGATGTTATTTCTGCTACTAACCTTGGCAGCCATATTCTGGATATGTTTCTTAAAGGACAGGGTCCTGTCTAAGGTGACCCCCAGGTATTTTGGTGTTGCCTCGTATGGGAGCAGTTTGTTATTTAGGTATACATTGAGTTCTCTTTTTGCCAATTTGTTGTTGAGGTGAAAACATGATGTAACTGTTTTATTTACACTTGGGATTAACCTCCATTGGTGGAAGTATGTGCTCAAAGTTGTAAGGTCGGCTGTAAGTACGCCTTCTGTAGCTTTGATATCCTTGTGGCTATATGCTAATGCCAGGTCATCAGCATAAGAGAACTTTTTTGATATCGTGGGTGGTATATCAGAAATGTATAGATTAAATAGAGATGGAGCCAGCACAGAGCCCTGAGGGAGTCCGTTATTTAGGTATCTTTGCTTACTGATTTTGTCACCCATGATGACTTGAAAGGTCCTTGCTGAAAGCATGTTATTTATTAGGCGGCCCATAGTTCTACAGGGGACAGCGTGGAGGAATTTCTTTAATAGGCCCTCCCTCCATACTGTGTATATTTACGCCCACCCCAAAAATCAGGCTTGGCCTTATTTTTTATTTATCATGTCGTATTTTTGGGAAAACATGGTATTTACTACTGATATTTTTTTTAAAAAAAAAAAACCTCTAGCTTTCTGAAATATAAATTGATCCATTTTTCTTGCATAGATGAAGAAACCATCTGGGAAAGACAACTCTGAGCTAAAATAAATCTATCAGTTTTGATTTATTTTCAGATGTGGCATTTTTTCTTGAGGATTGTTTAAAAAGTTTTTATGTATTTTTCCCCCTCTGCTGTTTACACCCATGTAATCTTTAAAGGGCAAAGAAGTACCTTATTTTTTGTTTTAGATGTGCCCTGGTTCCAGCAAAAGCATCTCTGATATACAGTTTTCTTAAGAGAATTGTTTCCAAAATTAGAATACTAAATTTGACATTTTATTAGCCTGATAGAAGAATTGACCCCAATCCATTTGAAAACAAAGATTTTGTGTTGAGAGATGTGCAGAGTAGTTTCATACTACTGTTAATCAGAAAAATGGAATCCTCTGCATAATCCTCACCCATCTTCTTTGTTTAGGCCTTGAGCAAGGTTTTTGACCTTCTAGATTTCCTGTCTCCAATGGCTAATTGCAAACAGCTGCACAGTTGTTGAGGTTATTGTTATACTTGAAAACCATAATTTTTTTGTTTTCTTTCCTACTTTTGGAGAAAAGGAGAAACAGTAGATATTATCCAACCTTGCCAACCAGAGGCACTGTCTTCCTATTTTTTCAATATTATCTGGAAGTACTTTGGGAACATATTTTCTTCATAAGGAAAGAGAAATTGTGACAGCTTTGAAACGAAAAGCAGTTGTGCATATGCCCTATTTTGTTTGTCAGTTTTGCATACGATGAACCTGTCACTACTAAGTGGTAAGACCTGAATATCTCCTAAAACTAATATATAGCCTTCTGAAGTGCAAAGGTTCATGAGAGGGTTTGAACTCCATAGAATAACATCAGGCAACCTACATCTAATGAGTCCCCAATAGGGCAAATCCATTCACATAGTATCTGCTTCTTATATTTAACTGCATATGATCAGTGAAGGCTAGGAAAATTGGCATAATATCCTGCTTTCATTGTGTGCCAATAATGCCAGAAACCTGAGCCCATTAAGGTTTTTTTCCAAACAGAGAAATCATTTTAAAATTTTGCTGCTCTGTTTTTTAATTACTGTGGCTGTTTCTCTAATTAAATATTATTTTCTTCTGTGCTTAATATGACAAGTGTGGGCTTATGCATTGTGCTGATCTGCAAACTTGCATACCACATTTAACTTAAAGCAGTTTGTTAACTTAAATAATAATCATGTAACCAAAATAAATTTTAGTTCTTTTTGGTTTCGCAAATTTTGTGAACCTAGACATAATTTAAGACTTAGTATGTTGTGTGAAACCAGCAAGTTATGATTAATTCAGTAAATAATTTATGCAGCATGTCAGGTGATTCAGGGGCAACGCTTTCTGGGGAAGGAAAAAAAGGGTTATAATTCTGTCAGCAGATATTTTAATATAAATTTTACAAAAATTCATTTTGGAGGCAGTCTGATTTTGACTATCATCTTATTCCTATTTTCTTGGAAATAATTATCAGTGAATTTGATGTGACTTGAAGAACAATTTTGTCTTTGTTTGATAGGAATGTGTGTTACTATTGAATTACCTCAATCCTGCTAATTTCAATTAGATGAAAATTTACTGAACAAATTCAGCAATGATGAAAGACATATTTTACCAGAATCCTGTTGTTCATTTTTCTGTTGATTAGTAAACAAGAAGTTTCTATACCTATTGGCAATGTAAAATAATCTGTGATTTAGAAAGTACCTTACTGTGGCATTTCTGAGGTTGGATTCAATGTGAGCTGCAAAAAAAATTTTTTTTTCTTTTAAAATCTATTTAAGATTTTATAGTGGCTTAAATAATTTTCTCCATTTTCCTCTTCAATAAATGAGTAATTATTTCTATGAATAGGAAAAACTGCGACTTCAGGGCCAAATCACTGAAGGTAGTAACATGATCAAAACCATTGCTTTTGGCCGCTATGAACTGGACACGTGGTATCATTCTCCCTACCCAGAGGAGTATGCCCGGCTTGGGCGACTTTATATGTGTGAATTCTGCCTCAAGTATATGAAGAGTCAGACAATACTTCGCAGACACATGGTAAGTTTTTAACTTAAGATTGTACAATGGAAAATTATTTATTTATTCAAGTTTGTTATAGGCAGCCAGACTCCAGTACAGTCTGGACAGTATACAAAATAAAATTTAAAAAATCTAAAAACAGGTAAAATAGAAAAGCACATGGACAGTCCAGATTAAGGCAATATTAAAAATAATACAATTTTAAAAATCATTAATATGTTTTGTATTGCGCAATGTAAATATGTTTATTAATGTACATTAAATTATATTTAAATTTAAAACAAACAGCAGCAACTCCGATCACTGATGAGCCTGCTTTTTACAGCCCAAATCTGGTAGCTTTAACCCTAGTTCCTCTTGCATTTACAGCTACTTTATCCTCTAATTTCAGGAAGGTTATTTTAAGCACGTTTTATTATATATTTCTTCTAAATATATGTTTTCTCTGTCTAAACATAATTTTGCATATGGTAAGGAATATGCTATTGCCTTCTACTGCTTTAGAAATTTAATCTTGTAAAAAATGCAGTTTTGTATCTCCCTGTGAATTTTCTGAGAAAAGAATGGGAAATGCTGCAGAGAAATCAGTTCTGAAGAATGCTGCCATGACCCCATTTGCATAATCATCTCCAGCAGCAAAGAATTTAGTTTTGGCCTTCGACCTCTTTTTTTTAGTACTTAATTGTGATTACCTTATTGCTTTAGAGAAGAACACCTTTCTCCTTCCAAACAGTTTCACATTCGACTTCCAATATGGCTGTCAGTCATAACTGGGATAGAACGTGTAATGATTATGACAAAGGGGAGGGAGGCCAAATCTCTTGTTGAGTTATACAAGCTTAGAAGCACTATCTGTTTATCATCACCTTAAACTCAGGTGCAGTCATTGATTGATTATGTATAATGAAGTTGGTGTTGACACATAGATTTTCTCCATGACAATCTGTCTCTAACTTGGTCTTTCAAAATCAATTATTAGAATCCAAATATTAGAGATCTCTGTAATTTTCTTTTTCAAATTCTGCCTATTCTGAGCCAGGCATGGTAATAAGTTATTTCTTGTTGAGCACTGAAAGTATTCTTTGCCTGTAAATGTATATATGAACATTGTTAGAATGATCTGCTCATATTAAAATGAGTTTTATTGTGGTGGAAATTTTTAGCAGACCTGTTTTGTCTGATTAGAAGGAAGGAAGGAAACATTTTTCAAAAGGCCCATGTAATATAAATTAAAAGCCTTCTGTAGAATGAATAGAACCTAAAAAAGGCTGGATTATTGTCTAGTGAAAGATTTGAATTTTACAATTTACAATTGTTATTAGAGATATGTAATGTAAATACACCTTTTATATTTAGTTTTATTACATGTAATGTAATATTGTTTACATAGTTGTAGCTATGTATGCTTTCTTTTAATTAGTTTCGTATGATAAACTACTTCTAAACAGTTTACCTATTCTTAATCAGAGCTCATTGGTCTATACCAAATATCAGGTTCATTTTTTCTGAATAGAGGCCTCATTGCTTCTGAATCCAAAGCAATTATTTTTCCTATTCAGTGGTATATTTGGAAATCAATTATGACAGTAATGCTTGTTTATCACTCTCCATAGGCAAAATGTGTCTGGAAGCATCCTCCAGGGGATGAAATTTACCGCAAAGGTTCAATCTCAGTATTTGAAGTAGATGGGAAAAAGAACAAGGTAACTGTTAATGGAGTGGATTTCAGGAAGGAAGAGAACCTGTGCGTGTATTCTATTTGTAGGCCATATGGGTGGCTTTGTTAGAAATTTTTCATCACTGTTGCTAATCACCCTGAAACATCTCACCTCATGCTGATCCCAAAAGTGCTTTTTCAAGAGGTAACTGGACTTTGTTGTTTTTCTTTGAAGTCATTTCGTTTTTCATCCAAGAAGCTTCTTCAACTCTGACTGGATGGCAGGGAATGGAAGATTATATTCCTTTCAGACAACTGTGTTGTATTAGACTGGAGATGGATGATGTCGTATCCCTCCCCCTCTGTTGACAGAGGGCTGTTCAGTTTTGACATAGATGGCCTCTTTGACCCATCTTCCAAATGACCAGTTGTCTGTAAGGAATATAAATTCTTCCATTCCTTCAATCAGACCTGAAGAAGCTTCTTGGATGAGAAGTGAAACATCTTCAACGAAAAACAAGTAAGTGCAGTTGCCTTTTGAAAAAGCACTTGGGAGAACCATGCCCCCAATAATTGAGAATCTCCATAGTCACTCGATGCTGCTGCTTATAAAGGTTTGGAGCAGAATTAGATATGTAGATAAGGTGATTGGATTGTATCAATTCATTGCAGATACGGGTTCATGTTTTTGTTTATTGTTTCAAAGCTAAAAAGGAACTTCTGCGCCTTTGGGGTCATCCGCATAACACCTAAGCAAATCCTTAAATTACCTACATCTTTTTCAGGTTGTGCAGCTGTTCTCTACTGTTAACAGCACAATTCTGGGACAATAGATATTTGAAACTGCTGCTCGCCAAGTATTAACCAAATTTTTTGGAGGGTGTGTGTTAATTTTGGCTCACTATTGTTTGATCTGCAATAATCTTCTTTGGAATACTAAAAAAGCTCTACCTATTGGTTATCCATAGATTTTTTTTTTTGTTTAGTTTCTATGGACTATCTTGTGATAAGTACTAGGAGGGTAGATGTTTATGTTTATTATTATATTGTTTATGTTTATTATATTTGTATACCGCCCTTCTCCCGAAAGACTCGGGGCGGTGAACAGCCAGCAGATAAAATACAAAAAATACAAAATTTAAAACAATATTAAAATCCTATTAAATTAATTTGGCCCACAGTTAAAACATCCCTATATTAAAACCCATAATTTAATAATTTAAAATTAAAACAATTTTAAAAAGTTAGGTCAGGTCAGCCCAGCTTGATGAAACAGAAACGTCTTTAGGGCGGAAAGTGCGCCCTAAAGTGCACAGATCCGGGATCCACCGTATCTCGTTCCAGAGGGTAGGTGCCCCCACAAAGAAGGCTCTCCCCCTGGGGGCCGCCAGCCAGCATTGTTTGGCCGATGGCACCCTGAGGAGCCCCTCTCTGGGGGAGCGTACTGGTCGGTGGGAGGCTAGATCACCTCCTACTAATCAATCTTGTATTAATATCTTGATTCCCTTTCTAATTTTTTCCAGATATATTGCCAAAATTTGTGCCTCCTGGCAAAACTCTTCTTGGACCATAAGACTTTGTATTATGATGTCGAACCATTTCTTTTCTATGTCATGACAGAAGCCGATAACACAGGATGCCACCTAATAGGCTATTTTTCCAAGGTCAGTAATAATTACTATACATGGGATCTAATCCACCAGCAGGGCTTTTGCGCATCAAAACAGTGTGATGATGCCTACATTGCCCTAGCTCAACATTTGGAAACAAGGACGCTTAGCGGTAGAGAACTTGCTAAAGGAAACATTTGCTCAAGTTAGGACTGAAATTTCCAGGCTATTAAGGGGGGGGGGGGGAGTATATAATTTTTCAAATGTAGAGTCACTTTTATTACATCATAAATTTTGTTACAGGTAGTCCTTGATTTATGACCACAACTGGGGCCAGAATTTCAATTGCTCATGATGTGGCCATTGAATTATCATGGCACCAGGCCTGATTTCATGACCATTTCACATTTTACCAATTGACTTTGGCTGGGAAAGTTGCAACCCATGATCATATGACTTGTAAATGTGAGTCAGTTACCAAATATCCAAATTTCAGTCACATGACTGGGGGGGGGGGTGTCATGTGACAGTTGTAATTTTTGAGGAAGGGTCATAAGTCACTTTTTCTGCCTTTGTAGCTTTGAATTTACAACTGCAGTTAAACGGTTGTAAATCAAGGAATACCTGTATGTGTAACTTGGTTTGGTTATGAAAGTATATTTATATAAAATGGAAAAGTAATTTCTTTAGACAACGATAAATATGTCGATTAAATTTTCTTGAAAATATTTTTAATGTTTATTATAAATAGGATGAAAAGCTGCTGAATTATAAAGGATGTGGTTTCTCTTCATTTGTGTCTATTTATTGTTTTGCCTGCCTACTACTACTAATCCTGAAAACAGGAAGTAACAACAATAATGTAAAAGAAAACAAAATCATTCACTGTCTCAAATAGAAAATATGGAGCAAAACCCAAATCTTAACATACATATTTTTACCAGATGAAAAGTTATCCATTCAGTACTATCATAGTTTCTTCTTCATTAGATCCTTTGACTTTTTTTGAAAAGTAATTAAACTTCTCTATCCCTTTACATGTTAACTGCTTGAATTTTGCCTCTTTTTAAACTGACTGCCATATTTTTCGGAGTATAAGACGCACCTTTTCCCCCCAAAAAAGAGGGTGAAAATCTGGATGCATCTTATACTCCAAATGTAGCCCCCCCCCCAGCCTCGCAAACTGAGATTTCAGAGGCTGAAAGAAGCCTCTGAAAGAAATGAGGGTTCAGAAAAAAAGCCTCTGAAAGGCTTTTATCTAAAATAATATGGCAAGCAACAAAAGAAGAATCAGTAAAGGTTCTAACCAAACTATGTTAACAAATCTGGAGAATGACACCATAGCCAACAGACCAGAAGAGGTTAATACCAATACCAAAGAAAGGAGACTGAACAGAGCCTTTTTTTCTGAAGCTCTGTTTCGGAGGCTTTCAGAGGCAGAAAAAAGTTTTTTTTCTAAAGCGGAGTTACGGAAGTTTCAGAGGTTGGGAAAAAAAGCAAGGCACAAAGCTCACAACCAATGAACCTGTTGCTAAAATTCACCTCTGGGAACAGCTGATTGGGGGTATTCTGGGAGGCGGATCCACCCACCAATCAGCTTTTTTCTTATTTTCCTCCCCAAAACGAAGGTGCGTCTTATATTCCGAAAAATATGTTACTTTGTTCCAGGTCTGACCTTTTAAATGTATAAACGAAAATGTACAGCAATTAGGTAATACTTCAGAAATTCTAGATTTGGAAACAAACTAATAGCCTAGTGATAACAATTAAGGAAAAAAAAAAACTTGCTAGGTTTTCACATTCTAGTTTAGGCATCGTGATTTTCTTTTCACCAAAGAAAAATCCAGAGAAAAGTAGCTTTGAGGTCTGTGTGATGTAGATTCATATGTAATTTTTTAAAATGCACGTTAAAGTTTATATGTGTGGTTGTATATGGAATTGAAAGCAACATGTGTATTAAAAAAATTAAGTCTGTTATTAAATATTATATATATAATATTTTATATTATATATATATAGAAATGTTATATTTATATAACATGTTATATATGTATGTGTGTGTATATACATACATACACACATATATATTTGTTTTTGAAGATTTTCACAGGTAGGGGTATGCAAGTTTTGGTGTATTCAAGTCTTTTCTCATGTAAGATTGAGAGTATCTTGGTGACATTTCGACGAGGTCCCACTCGTCATCTTCAGGCTGGTGTCTTCGGCTTTGTGCTTGTGCGAGGAAAGCATGATCGGAGCTGCCGTCTCTATAAATACTGGTGGGGAGATGTGGGGTGCTGGCTTTGTTGCTGTGAGCAGGTTGGTTGCCTGTGTTGTTACATCTTGATTGGTTGATGGAGTTGATGTTTGCAGGTTAGTTAGCTGTTTCGTAACATCCTGTGGGTGAGGTCCTTGATGTGTGCCCATTAGTCTTTTGTGTTTTAACGACCTGAGTAATGGGCTGTGTGTTAAGATCCTGAGTTCTAGTGTTGTGATATCCTGAGTTATTTGATGTAATGTCCTGAGCAGATGGTTGTGATGCCACATCCCGGGCTTTGGTTTGGCTCCGAGTTTGAGGTCTTGCCATGTGTTCATGGTGTGTGTCAGTTTGCTTTGTGTGGGGATCGGAGGGGGATGCAGCAGCTGGTGATGCCACCATGGTCTGGCTTCTGGATGGTGGTTGTATTTCGTCTGTGGGATGGATTTGGGTTTGAATCTGGTGAGGATGATTGGTGGTGGGGTCATGTGTTATCTTGGGTCCGGTGTTAATCTTCGTGGCTGGGACTCTTCTGTTGACTAGCGCTAGTTTCCAGATGTCCGGTAAGCGGGAGGTATCGTCGCGTTTATTCATGTTATGGGGGTGTTTCTCTATTTCAATGGCTTCCATGATTATTCTCTTGTTGAAGTGTTCAATTTTGGAGATTAATTTGGTTCTTTCAAAGTCAATTTCGTGTCCTGTTGTTTTAAGGTGCTGGAAAAGGGAGGAAATTTTTTCTTCTTTTCTGATTGCGTTCTTGTGTTCTGCAGTGCGTGCATTTATTCTCCTATTAGTTTGTCCAATGTGTGTGGCTGGGCAGATTTTGCATGGTATTTCATAGACTCCTTGGTTTTCTAGCTGGATCTTGTCTTTGGAGTTTCTTAAGATGTTGGCTATTTTTTGGTCAGTGCAGAAGGCTGTCTTGATATTGTGTTTGTGGAGAATTTTGCTGATTTTATCTGTGATGCCTTTGATGTAAGGGAGGAGGGCGATGCCATTGTCCTGTTCTGTGTCTCGGTTCTTGAGTGGTGTCTCCCTTTGGATTAGGTTGGTAATTGTGTTTCTTTGGAATCCGTTAGAGATTAATACGTTTGTGAGAGTGTGTAATTCAGTTTTCAGGTGGTCTTTGTTGGCTAGGCATTTGGTTCTGGAGATGAGAGTCTTGGCTACGGAGTTGATCTGTGCAGGGTGGTGATGTGATTGTGCGTTTAAGTAGCGATTGGTGTGTGTTTTTTTCTGGTAGATGGTGTCCTTTGGGACATACCATATTTTTTGGAGTATAAGATGCACCTTAATTTTTGGGGAGGAAAATAAGAAAATAGCTGATTGGTGGGTGGATCCGCATCTCAGAATACCCCCAATCAGCTGTTCCCAAAGGTGAATTTTAGCAACAGGTTCCTTGGTTGTGAGCTTTGTGCCTTGCTTTTTTTTCTGCCTCTGAAAGCCTCCAAAACAGCTTCAGAAAAAAAGGCTTTTTTTCTGAAGCTTCTTTCAGAAGCTTTTATTCTGAAGGACTATCTAACTGATCGGAAGAGGTTAATCTACATACCAATACCAAAGAAAGGAGATTAACCTCTTCCGATCAGTTAGTTATTGTGTCATTCTCCAGATTTGTTAATATAATTTGGTTAGAACCTTTACTGATTCTTCTTTTGTTGTTTGCCATATTATTTTAGATAAAAGCCTTTCAGAGGCTTTTTTTCTGAAGCCTCGTTTCTTTCAGAGGTTTCTTTCAGCCTCTGAAATCTCCATTTGCGAGGCTGGGTGGGGCTACATTTGGAGTATAAGATGCACCCAAATTTTTACCCTCTTTTTTGGGGGGAAAAAGGTACGTCTTATACTCTGAAAAATACGGTAAGTTTCATAAATTTTCTTCTGATCTTTTACATAAGAAAGATATCTAGCAGGCTGCCTTTAAAGAGTTTGATAATCTAGTCTGATAAATATACCAGCTAAATCTTCATCCCTGGATTGTTGATTGAAGAGTATTGAAATTCTTAAGAGTAGCATGGGGAAAAATAAAATACTTCTGTGACATGGGAAGGCAAACTGTAGGATGTGCTGAATATCTTATCAGTCATTATTTTATTACTGATTTATAAATACTTTTTGAGTTGATGAATGCAATGTAAGCAAGCCAGCTTGGATTTTCTCCTTGTTTGGTAATGGAAAGTCATTTTTCAGAATGGTGTTCTGGATTTCATGTAAGACAAAAATTGTGCAAATTGACTATTAAGATTCCAAAACTTAAATTTTGCTTTGCACATGATTTTATTGACATTATTATATTTTTGCCTATCTGGTTACCCTAAATTAGTTTTCAACTACACATATACACACAAAATGAACTGACTGTATGCTATTGGTTCTGTTTCTAAGCATTTTGGAAGCCTTATACTAGTTTAAATTGTTGGGGCAACGTACTACTCTTCTAAGATGTTTCTCCCTATATCTGCTGTTTAGATCAGAAGCTACATGTATGGTTCCTAGAGAACTGCTCAGTGATAAAATAGGGAGAAGGTATTGCCATCAAGCCCATTAGTGAATGTATCGGTGTTAAATAGATAGGGCCAAAGGATCACTGGTAAAGGCTACTGAAGCAAGGACAGTGTCAACCCTGAAGCTGGCCTGACTGAGGCCATTTTGAGACTTCAGTGCTGACACACTGGAGCTGAGGGACAAGGAGGAAGGAATAGATAGTTGGGGTAGTATAGTCATAACAAAATACTTTCTCTTGGGAACCAAGGAGATTTCTGCAGGTGTTCAGAAGGAGGGGACTGATGTCACCTAGCAACTGGACTGTATCCTGATTGGGCCATGTGACTGGTTGTTTATGGAAAGTGACAAACTTTTATTTTTAACTAGGTGAAAACTCTGGGAATATTCAGTTTTCACCAGTTTGGTTTTCACCAGTCTGTGCTAATATGACATATCCAATAAACTTATTCTTTGAGGAATTTACTTGTCTCTGAGTTTTGTTTGCTATGGGTATGTTACTTGGATCCCTAACAGGCAGAATAATGAATTTTGAAACTGGATACTCAGAATTCTAGAATCTTCTGAAAGTAAGGGTATTTTGGAGAATGGTTATTCAAACCAAACCAAGAAAATTTTCTCACTATAAGCTGAGATTCCAGAAAACATTATTTGGCATACCAAGACAGAATGGAGATGAAGGCTTAATGGCTCTTGGGTAGACAGGACAAATTTGCTTCACTGGGAATATCTTTGTTTATTTGTTTATTGTTTTGCTCAGATTTGAGCCAGTTTGTTATTAACTATATGCTTACATAATTCTTATGAAACGCTAGCCTGAAATGCTACTTTGTTCAATTTTAGGAGAAGAACTCATTTCTCAACTATAACGTTTCTTGCATCCTGACAATGCCTCAGTACATGAGGCAGGGTTATGGCAAAATGCTTATCGATTTCAGTAAGTATATTACTTATATATGTGTTGACAGTACTGTAGATAATAATATTAGTCAGTGACAACTAATAATAAATATAGAGGTAGTCCTCAACCTATAACCATTCGTCCACTAGCCATTTGAAGTTACAACAATGCTGAATGAATGGGTAGTTATGACTGGTCCTTGGAGTTCCAACCATCCCAGCAGCCCTACAATCATGTGATCCTAATCTGGACCCATTCAGCCCATTCACACTTAAGTTTGCAACTTTCCCAGCTGGCATTCCAGAAAGTCAGCAGGGAAGGCCGCAAGTTGCTGGCTTAAATCTCCCCTGCCTACCCCCACTTCCCCATCTCCTCTGCATTCACACCGTCTACTTGTGCACCTACCCCAAAGAGCATGATGCCGCTTAATACATCTTTCCTAAACCACCTAGTGCTTCTCATACAGTCTAATGGACTCTCCCTTTTTGTTTCAAACTCCAAATAAAAGTGCCCCACTTAAAACCTTTGAACCTTTCATGTTTGTTGCATGAATTCAAAATGGCTTGAGGACTTTGGCCACTATTTATTTATTATTTATTTATTTATTTGATTTTTATACCACCCTTCTCCAGCAGGACTCAGGGCGGTAAACAGCCAAGGTAAAATATAACATACAAAATTTAAAAACAGTTTAAAAGATAGTAAATGATTTCGGTCCACAATTTAAAACAGTCCAATTAAAATCAATTACAAATTAAAACCGAAAGGATGGGATCAAGCCAGCCCAGCTAGATGAAATAAGTGAGTTTAAGGGCCCGACGAAAAGTCCGGAGGTCTGGTATTGTGCGTATCTCTGGGGGTAGGTCGTTCCAGAGTGCAGGTGCCGCCACAGAGAAGGCTCTTCCCCCTGGGGGCCGCCAGCCGACACTGTCTGGCCGACGGCACTCTGAGGAGGCCCTCTCTGTGCGAACGTACTGGCCGGTGGGAGGCTATTGGCGGCAGAAGGCGGTCTCGTAGATACCCCAGCCCTAAGCCATGGAGCGCTTTAAAGGTGGTCACCAACACCTTGAAGCGCACCCGGAAGACCACCAGAAGCCAGTGCAGCTTGCGCAGGAGAGGTGTCACACGGGAGCACCCCGTCGCTCCCATAATCCCCCGTGCGGCCGCATTCTGGACCAGTTGGAGCCTCCAGGTGCACCCCAAGGGGAGCCCCATGTAGAGAGCATTGCAGTAGTCCAGGCGGGAAGTGACAAGTGACTGTGCGTAGGGAGTCCCGATCCAGAAAGTTCCTTGTTCCCTTGTTTTTCACTTTGAACACCATGAGAATAAGTGGTGGCAGCACATGCTACCTGCTACTAGGAAGCCAGTGAGATTTGAAAGACATTTTTGAATTTTAAAAAAATTAAATCTGCAAGATAAAATGGAAATAATGTCAGATTGAATCAGATCTCAGTAGAGAAATTTGATCTTTGATTACTTAAATAACAGCTTTGAGTTACTGAGCCAAAATAAAAGATACAGATATCTACTTGCTCACATTAGACATTGTATGAGGCTGTTGTGTTACTCTACAGTAGCTAAAAATTAGGAGGACTGTGGTAGCACTTTTTCTAATGAACAAATATTCATTGAAAGCCATAAGCTTTTATGAACTACCTTTTGGTTGCATACTTATTCTTGTTAATGCAACTTATTCTGAAAGGTACTATCAGGTTCCCCTGATTTTTATTGTTCATACTTTTTTTCCCATTAGCACCAATGGGAATTAATAGGTACTTAATACTTTGTCCTGCCATTTTCAACTCAGAACACTCTGCACTTAAATATTTTGCACATACCTGGTGAGTACCAGAAAATATGACAACACCCTCCCAAGTAATTGCTAGATCATTATTTGCTATAACAACAAACTGAGACATCTCTCAGTTTTTAAAGGTCATATCTTTTGTATGCCGAAGAATTCTCTAGAACTATCTAAACTTTCTAAAGCAATAAATAAATAACCCAGAAAGATTTTAGCTGATAGAAATTTATACAATGCTACCTGTAATAAGGTCTAAAGCTACTGCTTAGAAATTTTAGCAGCAATATCTTAAACATCTATCTTCTATGAGAAGTATGGTTTAAAGAAATCTAGTCAGGTAGGTTGCATCAATCCCAAATCATATCAGAGATTCAGAGCTGTTTGAGGTATAACATTTTGATCTGTCAAAAGATTTACAAAGGAGAATTCTTACTCCTTTTTAGTAGGGATATACTACCATATTGTGTTGCAGATTCTGCATTAGAGTTCTAATTTGCTGCCAAGTATTTATAGTACTAATAACATGAAAGAGCATCCGTCTTGCATCTGATTTCAGCAAAAATGAATATTCTAGTGCAGTCTTGCATATTTACTCACATCTTGATAGGATGGATAGCAATTTCTGTACAGTCTGGTATCGTGGGTAGGTGGTTTGGCTCAATGTGGGAATTTCAGACAGGAGGTTGCTAACTTGTCCCAGACAATGTTACATTTTGAACGAGTTTAAAATTTGCCTTGTGGAGTTGCATTTTATTTCATATGTGCACTAAATTCAAGAAATTTGAATTTTGGAGAGGTTTGTCCACCACAAAGTACTTGAGCTCTCCAATAAGGGGCTTACAAATCCATGTATGGAACTGGTGAAAATAGTCTAAAAATATCTCTAAGAGCAATTTGCAAAAATGTGTGTGTGCTTTCTAAACAGGCTATTTACTCTCCAAAGTGGAAGAGAAAGTTGGTTCTCCAGAAAGGCCCCTCTCAGACTTGGGACTTATCAGCTACCGTAGTTATTGGAAGGAGGTTCTTCTCCGTTATCTGCATAATTTCCAAGGCAAAGAAATCTCCATCAAAGGTGGGTTCTACTTTTCTCCACTCTCTTTCCTTAAATTCTAACTCTTGCTTCACTGTGGCCACATGGAGCAGTTTTTCTCAATTTACTTTTACCGTGAATCTCTTTCTTACCATGTTGCAAAAAAGGAGGTATTTTAAAATGAATAAAACTTAAGAAACTATTGAGGAATCGGTCAAGGTGTCCAGAGATTAAAAAGTCTGATAATATCTCATTTATCTTTCATTGCTGCTTTTCCCTAGATGCTGTCTTCCCCATTCCTTATCCTTACTTTTTATCCTGTCCAATGAATTCCAAAATAATCTGGAATCTAAATGGAGAATAAATAAATGAATGCTTCAAAACACAAATGTTTTGAAACAGTTCCAGCCCAGTTATTTCAATTTATTTTTCTTCCTGTAGGAGGAAAAAATATGAGATGCCTCCAAACAATAGAAGCTTAAAATTCATCTCTATTCTGTCTTCCAGTATCAGAGAAGACATGGTATCTCATAACTGTTAAATTTGCTTGATTCTGCTTTTGTGATTCATCTGGATGAACAAAGGGTTATGGAAAGCAGTTAACCCTTGACGGGAGAAAATAACATTTAGTCTTTTTCCCTCTCTTCTGAAGGGCATGCTTTCAGTCTATCTTTAAGATTATAAATTCTGAGAATGATATATTCTGTTCTTTTACAAAGCCACAGGAACTTGTTTTCTGGCTTCCAGTCTTTGTGTGACTGGGCAGGAAACAGCATTTTTTAAAGTAGATCATCCCATGTATTTGTTTCATTAATAATAGACTCGTGTATCTCTTTATTCCAGAGATCAGCCAAGAGACAGCTGTCAATCCTGTTGACATTGTTAGCACTCTGCAAGCCCTTCAGATGCTCAAGTACTGGAAAGGCAAACACCTGGTCCTAAAAAGACAAGTAAGAGTTTGCCTTGCAGTTTTGCATCTTTGTTTGGGGAGTTTGTGGGTACTGACTGTATGTTCTAAAAAAAAATTGTGGGAGGGGGATTGTTCCTCTGCCCTAGATATGCTGCATCGGAAAACAGGAGTCTGTATGCATTATTTGAACCCAGAAATCTCTTGCAGGACTCTTCTTTAGTTTTCCTGGGAACCATAGCTGTCTGAATATTGTTGAGTGTCCAGTGCTCTCCAGTGCCAGAGAGCTAAAGAACTTTCCATTCCATCCTCACTGTAAACATTCTATAAAGCAAAACTAATTGCTTATAGAACTTTTGGATGGCCGAAGAAAACGATATTTACATAGTGTCCCTGTTTCTCCTTTGATACCTTAAATTTTTCACTCCCTATGGTTGTGCTAGGTACTGGTTCCATTTATTGTGTTTGCTTAAAAAAACAAGACAGATACATATTAAGAAATAATATTATAAAACAATGAATAGGAGAGGCATGACACTACAAATGGAGAAAATAAAATATAGATAGTACCAACTAACATTGGGATGCTTCATTTAGGACAGGGCATATGTTCTTTCTTAAGATGAGAATTGTCCTTGACCTTTGAGTGGCATATCTGGGGACTAAATTCCAAGATAAATTGGAACTTATGTAGAAAGGAATTATCTCCTGTTAATAGCTTATGGGTACAGAGCAATCCTAAAAGAAAGTCTCAGTGTGTTTGTTAATATTAATTCTTCAATATTTTTTGTTTATATTTACGACTGCAATATTAATTGGTCTGCACAGGCTCAACCAAGAATGAGCAGAAGATAAATCTTGTTTTATTTTTGTAACTAGCTCTAGGTGATTTGGAAGAATTGCTCAGGATTCTGAGTCACAGTCTAATAATAGCAACCAAAGTACCTTCTCTTCCCCCATCATACTGATGAACTTTAAAAAAAAAAATTAAGTATACCAGAAATGAGGCATTCTGACTTATGAACAAAATGGTCATTTCACCAAATTTGTGGTGACCATGGGAACAGAAAAAATGAATTATGACAAAATCAATACAAGTGAACACATCGTTTTCTAAAGCTTTCCTTCAGTACATTTCCTTCTTATGCAACTAAATTATTACAGCTTTGCTCTCTAAAACAGTAAGCCTGAAATAATGTGGTATCAATTTTCTACCTATAGCAAAAATACTGGAAAATAGGACTCTTTCAAAATTAATTAATCAGGGGACTTTTTTTTAGACCTACACAAAGAAAGCAGCACTATTAAACTGTCCTTCTGACATGCATGTGTTTGTTTGTATATATAGACCACTTAAATTACAGATGACTAAGCAATATTTACTTCTTCGGAGCTTTCTTAAACACCTGCAGGATTGGTGCTGATTTGACTTCAGGTGGAACACTGTGCCAAAGGAGAGGGGCAATAACAAAACCGTTTTAGCTCTCTTAGTTTGAAATTTCTGTCAATACTAGTTATAGTTATGTCTTCTGCAGATAAATTTCCCCAAGCCTTTAATCTGCCTTTCTTTTTCTTTTTCTCTTACTCTTCTCAGGATCTTATTGATGAATGGATAGCCAAAGAGGCCAAAAGGTGCAACAGCAATAAAATCATGGATCCCAGCTGTTTGAAATGGACCCCTCCCAAAGGCACTTAATTAATCAGTCTCTCCAAGAAGTGCGAACATCCCATTCATGTGCTGCCATCATCACCACTGTGGGTACTTTTTCTTTTCCCAGCACTAGAAACATCCTTCCAGATCTTGGACATGTGATTGCTCTTGGTTCCATCTCTTCCCTTTCAGATATTTCTGCAGTGTTTTACTTTTTATAGAACATTTTTGACCAGACACCTTGTCTATGAGGCAAGATTGAAAAGATGAGAGTTCTGGACAATATTAACATGGCCTCAAGAAAGTACAGTAGGATTTAGTTGCTCCTCCATCAGTTACTTGCTCCTAGCACAAAAACTAGGGTTGCTTCTTACATTTTTAGTTTTATAACTTCTGTTTAGCCCTCTGAGATATAGTCCACCTGTACAATATAGTGGAATTGCAAATGTGATGGAAAGAATCATATTGCTTCATTTTACCAATGGGGGCAGAGAAACATCCATTTTAAATTTTTCTGTTAAAAACAAAGCAAAGCTAGTGGGGTAAGGGACAGACATTCTCATTACTCCTATTTCTATACTAGCATTCATCCACATGTTTAATAGATAAGGGAGCACTAAAAAAAACCCAGCAATCCTGTGCCTGTGTTCTGAAATGCTCCAATCTATCCTATTTGCCCTACATTTCCTTGCCATTCTGCTGCATGTGTATATACAGTCTAAATGTATGTCCGTGACACTTATTTCCTAACCACATGTTGACAAGGTACAAGTAAGAAATGATCCAGTGCTTCCTGGAATCCTGAATTGCTTCTGGATGTGCAAATTTCTCACATTTATTTGCAGAACCTAAAACTTCCTTGATCTTGGCACCTGTGTATTCCAACATTGTCATCAAAATATTTTTCCCACTTCAGTCCACCAAAAAAAAAGAATTGATGGGCAAGGAAGCTCCAAACTGTCGTTGGTTTCTGAGAATAGTAATGGTTTTATAATTTTGGATACAGGGTATCAGAAGCAATGAATTGCTCTGTGAATTGGATTTTGTAGCTGGGATAGTCAGATCCTCAAGGAGGAGATATCAGGCAGGAAAGATGCCACATGGTTTTGATTGCATGCCTAAATGGAAAGTCAAGATGCCATCACTCACTATAATTTTGGACAAATGACCCTAATGGCAGTTTTTGAATAGACTCTGACTGCCAATATATTTCAAGAGTCAATTAAATTAACTTTGTAGGGAAAAAATTGCAAGATCAACATTTGAGCCTTGGCATAGCATCATCTCTCTAATTTGGCATGCCTCATCATTTTGGATTAGCTACTTCAAGGCTCCTATGCTTGAAGCCCAAGGAATATGCATAGAAACACATTTCATCAGCTGGTGGGGGAACACTACTCTTTTTGCCAAATTACTCTTTTGCACTACATTGCTATACACATTTGGCAGTTTTGTGATTTATTATTCAATTTGTGAAGCTGCTGGATATACTAATGCCAGGCCTCAGGGCAATTCGCTGCAGCTGAATGAATGTAGTCTTCATGATGGCTTGTATTTTTTTGGGCCTACATTGTCAATTTGCAGATTTTCCCTGCCAATGAGACTGCCTTAGTCTGATAATTTTCTTATTCTTTTTTCAAGCAGTCTGTAAGGAGATTGACAGCTTCAGCTATGCTGCTCCATAAAAGAATGTTGAGAGTTGGCTCAGAAGCCACTGAGGGCAGGTGGGTAGTTATGGGTACTTTTGAAATAATCTTTATTGTTTTACAAATGGAAAATAAAGTCTATTATACAAGGTTACCGAAAGATAATTATTTATAAGTTAAAATACAAATATTTTAATTTGCCCATTTCTAAAACCCCAATCTTCCTATATTACATAAGGAAAAAGATGAAAACTCTGGCTAGTCTGCTACACTATTATCTACCGGTTTCAGTTAAGTATAGGTAGCAATGTATGCATAACGAATTGCCCTACCAATAGTCTTTATAAGGCTTCTTTTTGCCTGTATTATTGGTGTGAAGTTATATCTCAGCTGCTGGACTGTGTCTCTGCCGTCTCTGTGCTGTATTGGGTTGCTCTACTGGCTGATCTTTTGGCTATGGATATGCATGATATTATGCAGTAATATACCAGTATTTGAGATGGGAACCATTTTCCAAATGAGACACAGAGTAACCTGGCACAGGGAGTACACTTACATGCAGCAGATCAAAGTAACCGCAGTGGAAATTAACGGATGATTGTGCTCAGCCAGCTTGAAGTATGAACATTTACATCCTGGGTTTCATCTTGAGAATGCTTCCTGTACAGAGGCAGTGATTTGTTTTTCTTCCTGGTATGGTTGCAAAGAGACAGTATGTTTTGTTTGTTTGGGGGCTGCAGAAAAATGGGCTTGTGTGTTCTGCACTCTAATTGCAGTTTCCACAAAAGGAGGAGTGTGGCTTTTAATGGTAAGGTTAGGTGACATATATGAAAAATCCTGAGGATATCCATACAGATATCCATACAGATATGCCTTTCACTCCTGCCTAGCATGCAATTTTCAATAGTAGCATGACATACAATCTGTTTTCAGCTGAATATTTCTTTAAAAATTGTCCTTTTGTCTCCCATCTTGAGAAAAACAAATAGACTTCTTCAATCTCCACCAAGGATTTTTAGATAAGAATTCCTTACCTGTTGGTTCTTGTGTTTGGTTCTGCCTTTTTATTGCCATCCTTAGTCTGCAGGATTTCTATTTCTGAACATTGTCTGGCAATTGTTTTCAGCTTCTAGATTATTGCAAAAAATGGGGTAATGCTCTTTTTTGTGACAAAGGGAGGCTGGTTGTTCTTGTACAGAAGCAAAACTGTTTTCCTGGATATTTTAGAATATGCTATCAGTGTATCAACTTCTCAATAAAGCATGTTCTCTGCTCTCACTTTCTTCTCAAGTATTATTCTGAAAGGATTACTTGGGGGGAATTGAACTCTAAGCAAGATTTTCTAGACCACTACTTGCCCTTTGAACCAATGTAATGGATGGATTAAGTCACCTCTTTAATTTGTTCTACTTCTGTTGAATATTCTACATTGCACTCAAGGGACCAATAGGAAAACCATTTGGGAAGGTTCATTGCTGGTTTTCATGCACAGAGTTTGCATATGAAGTCATGGTTTGAAAGCTCCTTAAAACTTCAGTTGGAAAGTTGAGGAAATAAATCAGAAAATCCTTACTGGTAGTTTGCTGAATGGATCAGTTGTTGACTACTAGACAATTCAGTTTGCATTGTATCTCTTCTCTTCTAGGCCACTAATGGCCAAGAATAACTGTAGAGAGACTGATGAAAGGTGTCTCCACCCTTTTTAAGGTCAAAGAATATGAATTGCCCTGTGATGAATCAGGAATGGATTTGGGATGAAAACAAGATTAAATTGTTTTTTGATTGTATACTGCCCCAGAGTCAGTTGGGTTGGTTTACCAATATTATAAACAAATAAATTTTGGAGGAGTCTTGCTGTACAGGTAGTGTTCTACTTGCAACCATAACTGAACCCAAAATTTCTGTTGCTAAGTGAAACAGTTGTTAAGTGAGTTTTGCTCCATTTTACAATGCCGCAGTTGTTAAATGAATCAGTGTGGTTGATCAAGTAGTTAAGTTAGTTAAATTAGTAACAAGAGTTGTTAAGTGAATCTGGCTTTCCCAGTGACTCTGCTTGTCAGAAGATAACAAAAGGTGATCACATGACTCCAAGGTACTACACCCATCATAAATATGAAACAATTGCCAACCAACCAATTTTTGATCATGTCACGGGTGCTGCAGTGGTAAGGATGAAGAAAGTTGTAAGTCATTTTTTTCTTCTGCCGTTGTAACTTTGAACAATCACTAACAAACGGCTGTAAATTGAGGACTACCTGTACCACAAATCATTTTAGTACTATTTTTCCAGTTCCCTTATTTTCCTTTTTGTTATTTGCTGAAGAAAAAAATGAAGACTGGTCCATTTATTGGAAAATATATTTTATCCTAAGTTGTTGCTGTACAAAGGAAAGGGAAACACCTAATTAGGGCATCCAATATACTATAAAGCAAATAGTCAATAAGCAGACACAGGCACCAGAATATATGTTAAGAATGTGAAGGTAAGAAAGTGATCTTTAAAGCAGAGAATTCCTCTTTAAAAAGATGCTCAAAGCAGAAGTAGCTGGTTGCTGGGCTTGGGGAGGGGAGGGGAGGGGAGGGGAGGGGAAGAATAAAACCAGAGGTCATAATTAACTTAGTGTTGGCTGACCGATTTCTTGCACAAATAAAGAGAAAGAAAACCATCTTCAGCTTCATGCAGTAATTACAAACAAGGTTAATTGAATGTCCAATGAATGAATGTGGTCTAATAATACATATCAATTATATTTGTAATAGACATACCAATGATATATAAGCAAACAGCACAAATATTTATATATGAAAATGATGAATGTAAACCATATTTTTGTGATTAAAGCATTACACAAACATCACCTACAAATTAAAAGCTAATAAAATGAAATCAAAGAACAGGAAACTAGGCATGATTCGGAAAATACGAACCAAGAACACCTGACAGAGAAAACGAAAAAAGAACAGGAAGAGAAGAAACGTACCGAAAGGGAGAAGATGGAGAGAGAAGGGGCCAGGGGGAAAATTCCCCTCTGCGCATGTCCAAGATGGCCGCTCCCAGCTGAGCGGCGGTGATACTCGGGGGATATCCCCCGGTTTTTGGGGGGTTTCGGGGGCCGGACCAGCTAATTGAGCCCCATGTCTGGTGAGGGGAGCTTCTCACCAGTCTGTGTCATCTTTTTGAGAGCTGGCAGCTCTCCAGGACACGATGGCCGGGAACGAGACGGAGGCGGCTGCGCTGCGGCTTTACGAGCGGGGAGAGCATCCTCGGCGTCTCCCCGCAGCTGCCGAACTAGTGGAACAGGCGGTGGCGGCGTCGGCGATGCAACCCCTTCCTTGAGCTCCCGGGACTCCGAGGGGATGGCAGGGGCTTCCTGTTAGACCCAATGGTGGATGGAGGTGTTCTAAGAGCTGATATCGTCGGGATTGGCACTCGCTTTAACACTGGGACAAGCGGCTGGGAGAGATAACATCAGAGAGGCCGGAAAGGGACAGGAGCCTGAATAGGGAGAGAGAGGTGCACTCTGACCACGATTTGAATCAGATCATCAATGTTTGTTTCTTGGAACTGCCGGTTACAGCTATGGATGGGAGGCCCACCTGGAGGGGGCCCACTCCTGGTCCTTCCAGAGGCTCCCCCCCTTATTTGGATGGGGGTGAGCTAGAAACGTTGTTTGATGATCGCAAAAGACCTTGGGCCAGGCTTTTATGCCTTACGTGGTCTGTTAGCCTCCAGGAGGCCACTTATCATCTGGAGATGCCTCTGAATAATATAATACGATACTTGCTATGATATGATACGATACCTGCCTCCCATGGACATGGACATCTATAGCCTCCCGATTCGCCTCCCTACTCGCCTAAGGTGCAGCCGCTAGAGTTATCGGGGTCTTCTCTGGGCCCGTGAACCTGTAGATTGGTGGTTTGTTATCAATGCCCCCAATTGTAAGAGGGAAATATTTGGATTTCAAGTCTTTCATGGTGCCGGTCGATGACTGCGGTTTCTGGCCCTTCCCAGCTTTCGTGAGAGGGCAGCTGGTGTTAACATCTGGCCTTGAAGCGGCCTAAGACTCCATCCACTGCTGTGAGGGAGCAGTGGAATTTACTGACTTGGAATTGATTGAATATCCCTTTCCAGACTTTGGACTATCTTGATTACCCCCAGGCCGTCGATTTTCCCCGATTGATTGATTGATTGATTGATTGATTGATTAGATGTATTCGCTAACAGAGTTTCTTGTTCTGCGAGATTCCCCCCTCTCGCAGGTGTGGCCCTCTACTTTATCAAGGGCCTACCTTTATGACCAGCGTTGGCACTCCGAGAGGTGGCATGTTGCAAAAAGGGGATTGAGGGGTTTTTTAGGGAAACTTTTTGATAGATTTTTAAGGGATTTTAAGGGGCGGGAGGGTTGTGTGGGTTTGGGGGTTAACCCACGGCGGGAGGGGTCCGGCCCAGCTGTCAATGGGGCCATGGAGGGTGCGGATTCCAGGGGTAAGGGGGACATTAGAGTTCATTCTGTTGAGGGCTTTTCCATCAACGTATTGAGTGGGAGGGGCAGATATGGCGGGAGCAGGGGGCCGTATCATGTGGGGGCGCGCACTCGCTATCTTCGAGCGGTGGCGTGCCCCGGTCCCCATAGCTCTTCTCGCACCCCAGGCTGTTCAGTCTCTCAGGGCCCGAGCCTTCGGCTGCTGTTGTGCAATGCCAGGTCCGTGGTAAATAAAGCCCCCCTCATTTGTGATCTTATTCAAGAGGGGGGAGCGGACCTGGCAGGTATTACGGAGGCCTGGTTGGGCCAAGAGGGGGGAGTCCCCCTCGTAGATATGTGCCCATCAGGCTTCCGTGCATTCCATCAGCCGAGAGCCCAGGGCAGGGGCGGGGGTGTGACGGTTATTATAAAGGAAGGTCTTGATCCGAGGGAGACCACTGTTCCACAGATAGCTGGATGTGAGTCCCTTTTTGTGAAGTGGGGCCATGGAGTACAGATGGGCTTGTTGATCGCGTACCTGGCTCCCTGCCACGTGGCAACGGCCCTGCCCGAGCTGCTCAACGTCATAGCCGAGGTGGCGGTTAGTACCCCCAGACTTTTAGTCATGGGGGATTTCAACCTGCCATCTATCGGTGAAACGTCTGAGGTGGCTCGAGAGTTCATGGCTTCCATGACGGCCATGGACCTTACTCAGTTAATTCATGACCCTACTCACATAGGTGGACACACTCTGGACTTGATTTTTGTCTCTGGTCAGTGGTTGAGTGGCCTTGATATAGGGAATATAGTCATCGAACCCTTGTCATGGTCTGACCACTCGCTCCTTCGACTGGACTTTCTAACCGCTGCACCTCGCTGCAGGGAGGGGGGACCGACCAGGTGGTTCCGCCCCAGGCGCCTGATGGATCCTGATAGGTTCCAGACGGAGCTTGGGCCATTTCCTGAGACTCTGGCTCATGACTCGGCTGAAGACCTGGTGGCCGCCTGGGATAGTGCGGCCGCCGGGGCTTTGGACCGTGTCATGCCTTTGCGGCCTCTGACTCGGCACCGAACTCACCTAGCTCCATGGTTCTCTGAGGAGCTGAGGGAGATGAAGCGCCGGAAAAGACGGCTAGAGAGTAGTTGGAGGACCAGCCGCTCCGAATCCGACCGAACACTAGTGAGGTCTCATATTAAGACCTACCTAGTGGCGATAAAAGCGGCGAAATCTAGCTATTTTGCCGCTCTTATCGCGTCATCAGATAATCGCCCAGCTGCCCTGTTTAGGGTGACCCACTCCCTCCTCCATCTGGAAGCGCGGGATGATCCCTTGCAGGGTCGAGCTGAGGACTTTGTGCAGTATCTGTATGACAAGATCGCTCAGATTCGGGAAGGCCTGGCCTCTGACTGGGTAAGTCCGGACGGGATGACTGAGGCAGGTCTTGAGAGTGTTATCTGGGAGGAGTTTGATCCTGTTGCTCCCGAGGACGTGGACAGGATCCTGGGATGGCTGAACGCGACCACATGTTTATTGGACCCGTGTCCCTCCTGGTTGGTACTGGCTTCCCGGGAGGTTACACGAGGCTGGCTCCAGGGGATTGTTAACGCTTCTCTGAGTGAGGGTGTCCTGCCGGCCGCTTTGAAAGAAGCGGTGGTGAGGCCCCTCCTCAAGAAGCCCTCCCTGGATCCGGCTATTTTGGCTAACCATCGTCCAGTCTCCAACCTTTGCTTTGTTGTGAAGATTGTTGAGAGTGTGGTAGCGCGGCAGCTTCCCCGGTACCTGGATGAAGCTGTCTATCTGGACCCGCTCCA